CCCAGGTATTCAAGGCTTTTATTAAATTTCCTACCGATAAATTAGTTTTTAGGAGTATCCTGACCCGTTTTTTAAATTCTTCTCTAAAAGTTTCTTTGACCTCTTTTTTTAATTTAAGCAGCTGTGAGATACCATGATACTTGTAGGAGTCAGTTAACTGAAGTTGCTTCATGACATCACTATTATTAAGTTCAATATTAGCTGAATCCTTGTATCTTCCTCTGTGGACATTAAGGGTTGCACATTTGTCTGTTTCTAACTTCATCCCAATATCTTCAGTGAATGAACTTACGAACTCAAGAAGAGTTCTCATATCTCTCCCGTTCTTTGCATAGAGTTTTAAGTCATCCATATAAAAAGAGTGAGAAATTATTGTTTCCTGATTCAGGGAATAGCCTTTTCCAGATTTATTTAAAATAGAGCTTAGAGGATTAATTGCGAGGCAAAACCATAAAGGGCTTAATGAATCCCCCTGAAATATTCCTCTTTTTATGAGAATGTTCTCTGAGACGATGGGCTTCTTTTTAGTTGGATGTACCAATGATACTTCCCATAGCTTCATAAGTCGTTGTAATAGTTCTATTACCTTTTGATCGACTTTATAAATCCTGAAAACTTCAATCAACCAGTCATGAGGAACTGAGTCGAATGCTTTCTGATAGTCAATCCACGAAAGAGATACATTGCGCGACTTTTTTGATACTTGATAAGCTATGAATGAATCGACCACAAGAAGCTCTTTACGCCCCTTAGAGTTTCGCTTACATCCAATCTGCTCTTGTGCCATAAGGTTGTTCTTTTGTATATGTCTCATTAGTTTATTACTGAGTATGGATGTCAAAAGCTTGTAAACTCCATTAAGGCATGTTATTGGTCGATAGTCTTTCGGCTCTGGGGATTCTTTTCTTTGTTTCGGGATAAAGTGTGTCTTCCCTAAGCAGAAGTCTTTTGGAGGTGTGACTAAATTGCACATCAGTTTCTGATAGTAAGAGGCTATTGGTCCATGGACACTTTTAAAGTGTTTGAGCCAATAGTTTTTAATTTTATCTGACCCTGGTGCTTTCTACTTATGTGCGTACTTGATAGATTCCTGTACATCATCAATATTAATTTGCATTGCATCCATGCTTGGAACATTCTGTGTTTCATCTTGTAAATTCCTAAGCCAGAAAGCATTCTTATCGTAGTTCCTTGGACTGACCCAAATGTTTTTCCAATAACTAGAGAAAATTATTATATTATTATAATCAGGACCCTCGCGACTGCTCTGACTTTGGCGTGTGTTCATGAAGATACTGGAAAAAACTCGGTAACAGGCCTTAAAGATATTTGTGCTACTATATTTCCCAAAATTATATGAACAAAGAAAGGGTTTATGTCCTTGATGGATTACACAGTGCCGGGCTTCTATTCGGTGCCACCGAGCGATAACGCCTTACTCCTAAAAAAATTAACTTGTTTTACACAGAGCTTTATAAGCTTTCTAAAGTTTATACAACAGCTCTTGACCTCAACCTCAACAATAAAGAGTAAAGACTGAAGTGGATAACGAAATAATGAAATTAAACAATGAGGTATCTTGTTGCTTATTGAAAATAATTCTAAATTAAATATGTATTATATCTACAATATCTGCAAGGTTAAATCAATTTACAATTAAGAAGATAACACCACTTTTAAATTGAAACATGTATCATTTGATTTCATAAAAAATTTGCCTCTTTCGAAGACTTTTTCATACCATTGTACATATTATGATGTCACTGAGCTCCAGCCTGCACGGTCCACTGTCACCACTATCCAGTTCCGAGTGTCTAGGGCCCTCAGAATCTCAGAGGCAGCGTCCAATCATCTGCTGTTCGGCCTTTCCATTTTTCTCTTGCCATTTAATTCCTCATTCCGGACCTTGGGAATTTCGCTGCTGCACATTCTCTCCACATGCTCAGCCAATTGGACTCTTCTACACTTGTTAATATCAATGCCTTCATATCAATGCTCCATGTTTTTTCTCTTTCTCCAGGTATTGCCCCCTCTAATTGAACCAAATATTTTTCTTAATATAGACATATAGAAAATAAAAGCTTTTTGGTGGTCCATTGTCCATTTTGGTGAAGTCACATGTTTCTGACCAGGATTTGAAACGGAAAAAAACTGTCGTTTTTAAAACGTTTCGTATCAGTATCATCAAAATTTTTACTGTCAATAGTTTTTTCAGTTCTTTTAGAACTAGAACTTTTTCTCTTACAACTTTTCAAGTAACGGTCTTACAGAACTTTTACTTTTCAACAATTTTTATTTATAGCTACTCAAACAAATGACAAATTATTATTTATTTTTCATTTAACGCAACTTTTTTTAAGAACTTGAATAAATAAAAATTAAAATTTTACCATAAACCTGGAACTTTATTACAACAAAGTTCATTAGAACATTTATTTTAAAAACTTTTTTCCTAATATGTTTCACAGAAACTTTTAGAATAGAACTTTTTTCCTAAAAAAGATTTCACAGAAACTGTTAAAATGAAACTATTTTAAAAAGTTAAATATAAGTTTCAACTTCTGCTTCTGTACTGTATATAAGGACTGGACACACCAGCGACTTATACAGGTTTACCTTGGTTTTATTAGATAGGAATGTTTTTTGAAACTTCTGAAATGTTTTTTGAGGCCTGTCTGGCTGTCGCACACCTCCGGCTAATCTCCTAAAATATATTATTTTGCAAGTTTATTTCGGTTCCCAGATACCTATACCTACAGCTAGGAAGACGTAAACGAAGCAAGATCCCGCAGAACCATATATAGACATCTGTAATATTCGGTACTGCATTTTTGTAGGGAACTGTCTACTCGCATTCAGCTGTCGATAATTTCCATAAGGTCTCAAAACCTCCGCCCTTCTTGAAAACTATGTGTAGAGGACTCTCTATTGGCTGCTAGAAGGACGGATAGACCCTTTAGTAACATTTGCTCAAACTAGCGTTCAACAGTTACGGACCTTTAAGGACGCAGTCGTCACGCCTTTGCTATCACTGGGCTCTCAAAGTGATGAAGGACGGCATGCAGTGGTTCTTCAATGAACTCTTCCGTGGTACTTATGAAGGAGTTCGGTGTACCACTTGCCCAAGGGGACCGAAAATGTGATTGACTGTGAGATATATAATTATGGTAACAGCCTCCTGTGTCCATCAAGTAGCGAGTAAAGGACTGTCGGTCAAAAACGAATAGGCGACGATTGATAAGTCTAGCGGAAGTTTCTGCCTCAGCTGCCGCTAGTTCTTGTTTTCCGGCGGCTTCGATAAGTATTATAAGGCGATTAAAAAGGAACTCACTTTGAGTTCATCACTTCGATACCCGAGGTACTCCAGGAATAGCAACTGCTTCCTTAAAGGCACGACTGTTAAACGCGATTTTGACCAAATGTTACATCCGCCATTCTAGCAGCCTATATAGAGCCCCCTACCTATGGTTTTCAAGAAGAACGAAGGTTTAAGACCTTACGGTGATTATCGGCATTAGAACATTACAGATTTCTATAAATATTATTGCGGGACTTAGCTTCATTTACATCTACCTGGATGATCTTATCAACGAATTTGTGAACGATCAGGAGCATAAGAGGCACTTGATGAAGTCTATCGTCTCATGGAGCAGTATGGTCTATTATCAATCTTGGTAAATGTCATTTCACCGTAAAGGAGTTGGGGTTTTCGGGGCATAAACTGATTCAACATGGTGTTACAGTACTCCTGGAACAGCTTGAGGCCATTATTAATTACCCACGTCCGTCAATGGTTTCATACCTGCGTCGTTTCTTGGGGATCGTAAATTTTTGTTGGCGGTATTTTCCCTCACCGCCGCACAGGCGAATCTATGGGGGACGAGGGCGGCTTAAGGGCTTAAGTCCCCCCAAAAATGGTAAAATATAACGATGTCTTATGAAAAAAATATTTAAAATTACCTCTGAAAATATTATTGTTCGTGTAATTACATTTAATAGGACTTAAATAATCACTTAAAAGCCATTTCATATAGATAGTCAGTTTTTTTCTTTTTCCTCCAAAGTAATTATCGTTTTATATGTATAAAATCTTTCGGGCTGAAACCCCCAAAATCAAGTGATCCGCCAGTGACCAGTTGTAGTAGATGCATCATTGAACCAATACTTGTCCGGCGCTAAGAGGAACAAGACACTCTTCTCATAGACAGAGGACTCTGTAAGGGAATTCGAGGGTTGCAAAGAAACCCTCTCGAAAGCAGTTGTCATCGCGCATCCCAATCCATCATATGCACACCAGCGATGCTTCATAACTACTCTTCAACAAAAATAAAATGACGTTTGGCACTAGCTTGAGTATTTTCAAGAGTGTTAACCAAAAGAGCGTAATTGCGCAATGCGTGAATGCGAGATTTTGGCTATCTAACAGGTAATACGGCATTTCCGCTCTTAGGTTGAGGACCGTCACTTCACCATATGGATGAATCATAAGGTGCTTCTCTTTGCGTTTCAATAGAAACGTCCACTCCTATGCGGGTTTGATTAAATGAAGTGAACTTCATAAGCCCATTCTTCGCAGATATTCATTATGTTGCAAGAATAGAGAATAATATGACAGTTGCATTGTCAAGAGTGAAAGAAATTGCCATTTCTAATGGAATAGAAGCTTTGATTAAAGCAAAGGCTAAGGACGACAACTAAGGAATTGCTGAAGAACCCAAAGCTGGAGCTCAAGATGATAGGATTCCCTCATTTCTCTATTTATATCCCCATGGATATGCGTTGCTCGGTGCAAATTTATAAGATTAACCGTCCGGGAGTATTTTTAGTTTCGTGGTTGTTTTAATGAATGAAGTGTTCATTAAAAATCTTTGTAATTTATTTCGTTACAACTTGAATTTAAAGCCAGAATTTCGCTTGTGCGATTATTGTTTACTGCCACTATAAATTGTTAGCGAGGTGACTACGTTAGGTGTTCAAAGCTACAATATAAGCCTAGTTATTCCCCTTCATTTTGTTATTTTCAAAACTAACCTCTTTGTTTTTTGTCATGAACGAATCAGTTGTGTATTGTTATCTAAGGTAAAGTTTGATGTTCGGAAGAGTACAGTTGTCATGTTTTATGGGCTTTCAATCAGTCATTTAGTACAATGTTTAAGTTATTAAAAGATTATTTTACGTATTGGTATTTCCAATATGAATTAATCACAAATATTTATATGTTCGAACCTTGGGAAAAATTTTTGTTACGTATCCTTTTTATTAAAATTAGTTAATATAACATTATCTTGTTGTTTTTATAAATAGTGGATATATATGAGTATCATAGAGGAAGTTCTTTGATAGAATTATGGAAATATATGTTATTTAAATTTTCTTTCTGTTTATTCTAGTTTATCAGAGAATCAAGTTTATCAATCAGAAAGAGTAAAATATTCTGGAGAACAATGTGGTACTTCTGTAAAATTATTTCTCCAGTATGGTGGGTTTATTTAAACTCTCTTATAATGTTTAGGGAATATTATGTGTCTTACAAGAAAGGGAAATGATCATCAGCTTTTGTCTCCTCCATGTTCTTTATTATTTAGTTTCCTGTAATTTAAAGTGTTTTCCCTTTATTAACATGTTAACTACGCCCATGCCAAGGTTATCTATACAAAATTTTTTGAGTAAATTACTTTTTTGAATACCAGAATACCTTAAGAAAAGTAAAAAAGAGGTATTTTTAAAAAGTTTAAATTCATCTATAAAATGAGAAACTTTTTTAGTTTTAAATGAAAACTTGCAATTTTTGCCAACAACTTGTGTTGGCTCTGATATTAGTTTGGGTTAACCACACCCATAGGCTGATTGTTGGTATTGGCCAATATATATTGCCAATTGACTTTTCAATATTTATTTCTACATATAGTATCCTATTCTGGGTCGAGTTACTCAGTGTGGTCCATGGCGGGGTATGTAGCTTGTAGCAATCCATCTGGAAGCCTCTGCGTAAAAATGAATGCCTTAATAGAAGGCAAAAGACCACGAGCCAAATAGCAGGTGGATAGATAGAATTAATAAAGATGCCATACACTTGCGTGCAGAGAACTGAAAAGAAATAGCTTAAGACAGGCAGAGCTGGAGCAGGCTTGTTAAGGCGGCGATAGCTCTACAAGGTCTGTAATACGAACAGAAAAAAAAATACTGATACTATGATCACTTGACTGCATTTTCGAATACTAATAGGTTGGATTTACTCCTTTCCTGCTAAGTATACCCATTTGCAACTTTATGAGCTTGGTGTAAGCACATTTTAATTAGCTGTAGAATATAACTACCACAATAAAAGTAAACATTTCTCACCTTTTTATGATTTTATTTTATTGTTTTAAATGTTCGCTTCATACCTTAATGTTATCTAATGATATTCCACTGAGTGGTTTTGTGGCAGATTCAATTTCATGCTGGACATTGTTTCTTTGCCATCCAATTAAACAAATTTTTGGCAAATTGCTGTTTATTTTTTACATTGTTTTTTTAAAAGCTTTTCCATTATTTTTTTACATTAATAATAATTCCACCATTTACCGTTTGCTTTATTGCTATGCTATACTACTATGCTATACTGCTATACAGTCTAACACTTTGGCCTTTAATTATTATTTTGTTATTAAATTCTTACTTCTATTTATTTAACTTTAATATTTACTTAATTATCATATTTAATCTATATATGATTATGTTTGTACTAAAACCCCTTTTTTATCTTCTAAACTTTTATTTTACATTAAATCATTTTTTTGTACATTCAAAATTTATTATAATGTTTTGTCCTTTTTTGCCATTTTCAAACATATTTATTATGTATATTTACACCACCTGTCCACATTTTATTTGTACAATTTTTACTTTTCAATTTCATCCAGACAAAAGAAATACTTTTCTTTTTGCCAGTCAAGAATTATTTGTTGGCGGCTATTCTTTTCTTTAAAACAGGTATACACTTTTTATCACTGTGTACATTTTCTAAAATTGATCTTTTTTTCTTTTTTACATTCTAATTATATCAAGATTTTAGGCAAAATTTATTTATTCATTATTCGAAAAATCATCATATACTTAAAAAATAAAAAATACAAAAAGGAAAAAAACTTTTCTAATTTCTAGTTACCTTGTTTTATGCATAGAAAAACCTTTTGACATTTTGGATCTGCAATTTCTTCAAATTTCACCTTATGTGACCCTTCAAAACTATTGTCCTACCAACAACTGTATTAAGAATGGAGGAAGGGAATACTTTTACTGAACTCTAGTGGATAAACTCATAACATATTAAAGAAAAAAAAAAATTTAATATCATCATCATGTATAGAATATTTTACTCTATTTATTTTTTAGTTTATTTGTTAATTCAGCATACGATTTCTTAATATTTTGTGAATAATACTAGATTTAAAGCAAAGCTATTGGTCGTTCAATAAAATAAAAGAGAGATACGAAAAAGCAAAACAATGTAAAATGTAGAAAAATCAGAGGTTAGAAAAAGAAATAAGAGAAAAAAAAAATGCGAAAGCTTTATAAAAAAGAAATATAAATATGAAAAAAAAAACTACCACTAACAACCCATGAAGGGTTATGGGTTCAGTACAATGTGAGGAAGTACTATTACAAGGCCAACGGTTGTACAGGGACGTGACGGCCCAATATCATGCTCAACCGCCTGGTTTTTCCCCTTAAATTAATTATTTAATTAAGAGTACTCACTTTATAGACGGTGGGTTTACCCCAGGATGGTCTGGCCCCAGGGTCGATCCACGGCTGATGAGAAATTACTTGTCATCAGCCGGACTTGAACCTGGGACCTTGAGCTCTGGAAGTCAGTGGTCACCCACTGAGCTATCCTGCTCCCTGATATGAATGTGAAACTAAATGAAATTCATAAAATAGAAATTGAAAAGCCATGTAATTATATATAATGACTAAAAATAGAAATAATTTCAATCACTTCAATTTTTTGAAAATAAAACATTCTTAACCGTTAATAATATAGATACAAATAAAATGGGATGTAGTAATAATGGGTTTATAAATAAATATAACAAGTTGTATGAAAATGATTACCTTAAAAATTTTACCTAACTTGAAATTCCAAAATACGTAACAAATTTATTAAGTTTGGGTGAGAATGTCTACTTATTTTCTTTATATTATAAAAAAAGATATTACCAATTTAATAATAAATATGGAAAGCATACTAAATGATTTAAACACTAGTACTAATCATAAAGACAGCATAAGAAATTATATAAATAAAGAAAATAACAAACTAGCTTGAAAATGGTAAAAATCACAAAGAATATATGAATAACTTCTTACGAAAATTATGGAGGGACGGTCTAAATAAAACAATAAAATACAAGAAAAAATATCCTGACATTATCTGTATAAAATCAGATAGAACCAAATAGATTGCTATCATGAAGAAGGATTTCTATTTAAAACATATGAATTAATTAATGGAAGTAGAAATATCAAAGAAAACTGAAGTTTACATTAACAAATCAAATTATATAAGCACTGAAAAAAAAACTCATAGAAAAACAGCCAGTAAGTAGCACTTAGGTTATTTGGATTATTAAAACTTCACAAAGAAGAAATTAAGTTCAGGCCTATTATAAATAGAATTGGGAGCCTAACCTATATTTTATTTTCTCTTCTATTGCTCTACAGTCCAGGATGGTCCTTGACTTCCTGAACAACAGCTCTCCAGATGTCCCTGTCCTTAGCCTTTTCCTTGCAGTTTGCAACTCTTAACCGCCTCGCTCTTCCCCTTCCTCTGACACCATAAATTCTTCCTTGGAGTATCTTTTTTGGGATTCTCTCATCTGCCAATCTAAGAACCTGCCCCAGTCATTCGCTCCGCGGTGATTTAAAAAGCTTTTAATTCACAAAATGTGCATGGTTCGCGGCCATTGTGTACCTCAGTCATAATTCTGTTTTCATTATTTATTTCTGCCCCATAGGTAGGTAAAGGTATTGATGTCTTCGAAAATGTGTCCTTCCACCACAAGGTTATAGGAATTTCTTGAATTTTCTGAAGCAATGGACATATACTTTGTTTTTAAATAATTTATTTTAAGACCTTATATTTTATCTAAACATTTAAAACCAAGTTTAGATTTTATGAATGGAATTAATCCGTTTGATGTAAAAAACACTATAGAATTAGAGAATAAAATAAATAATAATAAATTAAAAGAAAATTAAGTCATGGTTAGTTTCAATGTAGTCTCGGTATTTACAAATGTACCGACAAAACAGAAATTAAAATATTAGAAGAAAATTAGTAAAATATAGAACCTTATACGGAGATATAAATTAAGAAAATATTGTTCTGATATTATTAGATAATGAATTAAATAAAAAAAAATATTGAATTATATTTTTTATATGTTAGGGTAAATTTTATGGATGCTGAGGGCGTAAATGGTTCGTGGACTGTGAATTCCTAAGGATCAAATAATTTACATTGATACATTAAATATTTGATTTAACCTAAGAATAAATTTATAGGTGGAATAAAATAAAAATTAAATAACTACTTTTTTTTTTATTTATTTATTTTTTTTTTTTATTATATACATTACAACATGTCATACTGATACGCTGCATGTTTATGGTTGCATTAACCTTACACATGACATAATGATGGTTTGAATACTAGTTAGAAAATTGAAATTATTTTTTACAGTAGGAAAAATCTCATAAAAACCTACATAAGATATAAATGAAAAACTAGGTTACAATCATTAAAAGTACAAGAAAAACTAAATATAATTTATGTGCAAAAGGAAACTATATATATATATATATATATAAAATATAGTTATATATATATATAACTATATATATATATTGTGTGTGTGTATGTGTATGTGTATATATATATATATATATATACACACATACACACACACAAACACATACATATATATACATACACACACACATCCTATAAATACAATTTGTTGATTGGGGATTGAGTTTATTGTTACTTGTTTGGCGATAGATAAGAAACCGTTAAATTTTCACAAATAAACTGATTGATTTAGACGTTTAGTAGTATGTATTTAGTCCGTCTGTGTGTATACCGTTTCAAAGATGTTTTGTCATAGTTTCCTATTGTTCAGATCATAGGGTTTTCAGACGTTGGTGTAAGCTCAAAAAATCTCTGTGTTTTAAAATAAATATATTTTTTTATTGTGGGA